GCGGAGCGCCGAGTTGATTCCGATCACGTCAGCGTCTCGCGGGTAGCGGGACCCAAGGCGCCACCCAGAGGTTTCCTTGCTGAGCGACAGGCCCGGCTGTGACCAGGCATAATTTAGGCTCATGCTTACATGGCCAGGAAGAGGGAGGAGTGCCCATGCCCAGCGGCTCAGACCTCAAGAGGTGGACTGAATCCCAGTTCACATTCCTGTGCCATCGAGACTTTTGGATCTGTTCCTCCATCCTACACTCTCCACGGCTTTCGGTGGAGGGGCGTTCTTGTCATTTTGCAGATTTGGAAACCGAGGCTCAGATTTTATATGGCTTCCTCTAATTCAGAATCCACTAGGCAGCCAAAGTGTGTGTGTGTGTGTGTGTTTTAGGGAATTTTTTTTTTCAAGACAGGGTTTCTCTGTATTGCTTTGGAGGCTGTCCTGGAACTAGCTCTTGTAGACCAGGCTGGTCTCGAACTCACAGAGATCCACCTGCCTCTGCCTCGAGTCCTGATATTAAAAACACCACCACCCAGCATGTGTGTGTTTTAAAACAAGACTTCTTGCCGGGCAGTGTTGACACACACCTTTAATCTCAGCACTTGGAAGACAGAGGCAGGTGGAGCTCAGTGAGTTCGAGGCCAGTATGGTCTATAAAGTGAGTTCCAGGACAGCCAGGACTGTTACACAGGGAAACTCTGCCTTGAAAAACCATAAAACAAAACCCAACAACACCAACAGAAAACAGGATTTCGTGTAGTGCAGCTGGCCTCAAACTCAATATGTAGTGGATAATGACCTTGAACTTTTCCTGCTTCTGCTTCCTCATACCACCATGCCTGGTTTGTTCCATGATGGCAATTGAGCCTAGGGCCTACTTAATCCTAGGCAAGTGTGTGTGTGTATTCCAGGACTTCACTGTGTAGCCCAGGCTAGCCTCACACCTTCAATGCTTCTGCCTCCTTCTCCCCAGCACTGTGTTTGAATGGCTGCTTCTATATGTGTGGCGCGTGCATACATGTGAATACCAGCAGACTCCAGAAGCAAGTGTCCCCTGGAGCTGGAGTTATAGGTGGTTGTGAGCAGCTTGAACGGGTGCTGGAAATTGAACCCAGGCCCTCTGAAAGAGCAGTTATTGTTCTTCATTCCCGAACCATTTCTCTAACCCCTAGTTGTCATTATTTTGTTCACTGATCTCTCTTCAGTGCCCAGGAGTGTTTGGAACTGAATATATGCTCAAGTATCTGTGGCAGGACTGAGTGGGCAGTTGCCAAAGCGGTGCATCCAGGATTTGAACCTGGATCTTCCTAGCTCACAAAGCTTTTGTCCTCCTCCATGCCCACCCACTCTCTCATTTTATGATCTCCCGTAAATGAGTGGACTCCATTTCTCAGTTTATGTTACTCCCCTACTGTGAAAGAGGCTCCAATCCAGTTATGGTAATTCATTTCTCCCTCACCACTCCCCATTTTCCCTCCTCTCCTGAGATCTAGCCTTATTGTGCTGTAGCAGACCCTACTTGTCCTGTCCCACACATGCCATTGTCTTCTGTGTGGATGTGTTTGCAATTTACAAACATGGTGTCATGTATCAAGCTCATTTTGTTGTTTACATTTTTCTGTTTTTCCACTCACTGACAAGGGTTTCCATATGCATCTTGTTTGCTGTTTCTACTAGTTGCAGGCACGGAAACGTTGGGCTTCCAGCACTCAGCCCCATAGGGATCCTACTCAGGCTGGCCTCGTGAACAAATCACTGCTGTCTCCTATGACAGGTAGGAGGACTCCTCTTCCAACAGGTGGATGTCCAGGCCATAGGGCATTTACCCTCGTGACTTCACAGAGCTTGCAGGTACTCTCCTGAGTTGTGGTGAGTTGACATCCACCCTGAGGCTTCTGGCTTTTTCTCAGCCTCTGGTGTCATCCAGTTTCCTAAGAGCTGGCAGGTCTGATGAGTACAAGGTGCTACTTCTCTCCTTCCCTTAGGTTGGTTGGGAGGGGTTTTTTTGTTTTGTTTTGTTTTGTTTTGTTTTTCTTTTTGATGCTGGTATCTGTCTATGCAGCTCTTACTGGGCCAGAAATTTCTATGTAGACAATGCTACAGGTTCTCCTGCCTCAGCCTCTCTGATGATGGGATTACAGACTTACATCACCACACTGTTTCCTTCTTTCTCCCTTCCCTGTCACACCCTTCTTTCCTCTTCCTTTTTCTCCTCCCTCTTGCTCTTCCTTATTTATTCATTTATTTGCTTATTTATTGTGCATGTGCACACAAGCATATATGTGTATGCATATGCCCTGGCACACGTGTAGGTCAGAGAAGAACTTAATGGAAGTAGGCTCTTTTTGTTTACAGTGTGGGAGGGTGGGGGCTAACTCTGATTGTCAGGCTCTGTGGCAGATGCCTTTACCAGGTCCTCCCTTCTCTCTTCCCTCCCCCTTCTTCTTTCTAAGAGTTTATGTATGAGTGTTTTGCCTGCATGTATGCATGTGCATCACGTGTGTGCCTGGTATTTCCAGAAGTCAGAAGAGGGGATCAGATTCCTTAGAACTGAAGTTATTGATGGCTGTGAGTGGCCATGTTAGTGCTTGGAACCAAACCCCAGTCTTCTGGAAGGGCAGCAGTATTCTCTACCCTGTATCAAGTGCTTTTCCCATTGATCCATCTCACTGGCCTTAGAAATAAATGCCTCTCATGTTACTCCAGCCTTATATTGTTGGGGAAAATCCTACTTGATCTTCAGTTTGTCTTTATCATCATACACTGTTTTGTGTATGAAACAAAATGTATTCTTGAAGCAATTTTTTTTCTTGAAGTAAAACACACATTTTGTATATATAACACCAACTTGCCATTCTCATAGTTTCAAACTGTACAGTTCTGTTATATATTCACATTATTGTGCAGCAAGACTGTAGAGCTTTTTAATTTTGCAAAATAGAAACTCAGTACTTAAAAAAAAAAAAAAACCTTCCTCAGTCCCATCCCACAATTCTTTCTGTCTCTATGAACTGGCTATTCAGACAACTCAGTAATCATGATCATACTGTATTTTTAGGTGTGTATGAGTGTTTGCCTACATGTATGTATATGCACCACACATGTCTAGTGCCTACAAAGGCCTGAAAAGCATATCCAGTCCTCTGGAACTGGATTTACAAAAGGTTATGAACTATTGTGTGGGTGCTGAGAATTGAACTTATGTCCTCAGAAAGAGAAGTCAGTGCTCCTATTTGCTGAGCCATCACTCCAGCCCATTACAGTAATTTTTCACAACTGATATTTCACTGAGAACACTGATTATGTTTATGTAGTGTATTCAGTTAGCTTACTTTGTGGGTATGCATGCTGAAGAAAGAACTCAAGGCTTCTCACATGCTAGGGAAGGGTTTAATACTGAGCTATACCCTCAGCCCCTAGATTAATATTTTATTAGTTTTTAACCTATATTCATCTTTCCTGCTGTGGTTCATGAACAAACTCAATCAGCCATGCTTCTCAGCTTCTCCCCCTGTTGTACTTTCTGGAACATGAGTACAGAGACTACTTTTACTAAAATTTGATAGAGCTTGCCAGTTAGCTGTGTTGGTTAAAAAAACAAAAAACAAAAAACAAAAAACAAGCACGTTTCTCTTTCCCTCCAGAAGCCCTGCCCTCTCTGAGGACTTCCTATTGGAAAGTGAACCAGTCTGAATATGTGAAGCACTTAGCACCTGGGACTCATGGGGAAGAAGATAATCCTCTGGGTTGTGATGACAGGATGAAGACACCGCAGAGGCCCAGAGACTCTGTTAGCTTGTGAGCAGGAAAGTCCCACGGCTGTTGTTTACAGCTAGATTCCCAGTGGGAAGAGAAAGGCCATTTCTCACCCTGCAGTAGCTCTTTCCTATCATCCAACTTTCCCCGAATAGCTATGGGCACCTATTATGCGCAAGCACCCATAGAGTCACCCAACCCCACAAAGTGTTGGGGTTCTCATGGGGGTACTGACCCTCAACTCGATTTTAAGGGTTGGGCTTGGAAAGGGGATTGCTAAGCACGTCCAAGCAAGTGGTCTACCACTGAGCTACATCCCAGCCCAGTCTTTTTATTTTTTTTAAGACAGGGTTTTACGTACTCCATGTTTGGCTATGTATAACCAAGAATGATCCTGAACTCCTGATTCTCCTGCTTGATACCTTCGGAGCGCTATTGTTTTAACTGTGTGTCACCACACCAGGCTTCCTTCCCTTGCCTGAAGGCAAGAGTCCAGAATCTATACAAGTCATAATTTATGCTAAGTACGCAAAATGAAAGGGCCAAAAGGGAATCAAGGGTGAATGTTTTTTTTTTCGTCTTTCATTTTCCTAACTCGAATGCTGTTAATAGGGCATCTACACTTAAATGGAGTGGCAACGCAGCCACCAGAGATCCAGTCCGAATAAAGTCAACAGCACAACAGCGGGTCCCGGCCGCGCCCCACTGGCCAACCAAGCCCCGCCCCTAGGCAGGTTCAGGCTCCACCCTCGGCGCCGCGTTAAAGCCGCTTCACGGAGAACCAATCCCGGCTCTTTTCTTCATTTCCTCCCTTTTTGGCTTCTGCCCTCAGATAAAATGGCGCTTGCTCAGAAGCTGCCGAGGCTATAGGAGTTGCCGAAGCAGGTCCGGAAGCTACCGAGCGAGTCCGGAAGTTGCCGAAAGAGAGCAGCGGGGAAAGAGGATGGCGGATCTCATCGCAAGACTTCGAGAGGACGGGATCCAAAAGCGTGTGATACAGGAGGGCAGAGGAGAGTTGCCTGACTTTCAGGATGGCACTAAGGTTCGTGGCCATCCTCTCCCCCTTTTCCCCCATCTCTCTCCT